ACGTTTTAAGAACTATCTAAAGTGCCATTTCATCTGTGAAGATTTCTTTATTTCATGAAGCCAGAGTAAGGGGCATGAAGTGGGGGGGCATTTGCTGTTTGTGGGCTTCCCATCATCCATTTTATCCTTCTCACCATCCTAATTTCCTCTGAGGAATTAGGTCTTCCCCAATGGATACATTTTTATAGGAAGATAATGAGAAGCCTTGTTTTCCCTGCTGACCCATCAGATTCATCATGGAGTCCTCCTCAACAGAGAGAGGAAGATCCTAAAAGGATTGGATTCTAGTCCATCCCAGTAGCAATATCTGCCTCTGCTTCCAGAGATACTTTGATTCCTGATCAACCCCATTGAGTCTATGAACCTCCTAATAAGTTTCTTTGGCTTAAGTCAATCATATAGGGTTTCTGTTGCTTACAAACAAAGAAGCCTCCTTTACTCCCACAGTGCCTTCTTATGTAGTGCCTACCACATGGCCTTGTAATTTTTGGTAAACATGTTTGTCTCCACCAGGCTAAGACACAATATCTAGCACTGTGTCTAACACCTGGTGAGTATCAGTTCATACCTATTAAATGAACGAGTAAATGTATGAATGACAGAGAACAAGTTGTCCTTCTTCTCATTAATATCTGAAACAAGCAAGTGGGCCATTTTTGTTCTAAAGATTTGCTTCTAGTCATTATGAACAAGAGGATTCTGCATGAATTCCACAATGGCAAGTGACAGGAATTAAGGAATAGACTTGATTAGAGAATTTTACAACTGAAGTATGAGCAGGAGAAGGCATAGATTCCCATTTCTCCCACCATCTCACAGAAAGGTAATCTGGGTCCAAGTATTTCTGGACATATGCAAGGTCTACCTACTACACTGTACTTTGAGTACAATCATGAGAAAGTGACCTTGTCAGAGGTGAGCTACTTGGGCATCCAGCTGCCTGGGAAAGTCATATGTCCAGCACCTGGAAACCTTGGGGGGCCATTGGAAATTTCAGTCCCTCTTGCTTTTAGAAGGTAGCCACTGATCTGACCAGAAACTGAATTTGGGTGCATCCTTTCTCACAGGGAGAAGGGACAGCTTGTTTTCCTTGTGATCTGGAGTTGGCATCAGTATTAGTTTGCTATGGCTGCCATAACAAAATACCATAGGCAAGGTGGCTTACACAGCAGAAATTTATTTTCTCACAGTTCTGGAGGCTGGAAGTCCACGATCAAGGTGTTTGCAGGATTGGTTTCATTCTAAGGCTTCTTTCCTTGGCTTACAAAGGGTCACCTTCTCAATGTGTCCTTACATGATCTTTTTTCTGTGCCCGCACGCTCCTGGTGTTTCTTCTGCTTATAAGGACACCTGTCGTATTGGATTAGGGCCCCAACCTAATGGCCTCATTTAATCACTTCTTTAAAGACCTCATCTCCAAATAAGGTTACATTCTGAGGTACTGGAGGTTGGGACTTCAATATATGAATTTTGAAGGACACAATTCAGCCCATAACAGTCCCCAAATTAGATAGGTAGTAATGATAATAAGACCGCAGAAGTAATAAAATATCTAGAACTCTCTACAAATTATATCTCTGACAAACACTGAAATACAAATTCATCTAGTTGGATCACTTTCCACAATTACTGCTGCCTTAAATACTTCTCTGGCACACCTATTTGCCCTTTTATTCCTGATGCTCATCCCCATCACTTCTCAGTCACCGTAGAGCCCCTACCAGTACAAAACTGTTGGCCATTCAAAGGACTCCAGAATCATGAAGGTCTTTTACATCAGCTTCAGAATGGTCTCCTCAAATCCACAAATCATTTCCTGACTGTAATTTTCCCCAAATTTTGAAATCATTAAACCATAAAAAGAAAATCAAAGTGTTGTCAAGATAACTTTCTCTGATAATTGAGCCCTCTTGTGTTAAAGAAAACTTGTATTTTAATACATTTGGAAAACCAAAATGAAAATTACACATAAAGGTAAAAGCCATGGCTAGAAATCTGTAGTGGTAAATCATTTCTCATATGTATATGGATGCAGAGTCAACCTTTCAAAATTTATTCTCACTCTTTAAAAGCATGTTAATAGGAGCAATTGCTATTCCAAACACAGATGAGTAGATTTTTCCCATTATTTTCCCTCTTTAATCATAAGTATAGGTGATATACAACCCAAAGCAGAAGTTAGACACAAAACTTGTCTGGTGTTACTAAATTGGTTGGATAACTTGAAGCATTCAAAATAGTTGTAAACTGGCTTTTAAGTTTTTTGTGTTTGGGTTTGTTTTTTAATTTACAAAAGAAAGTGCACAACTCTGATATCTTGTCAGGAAGAAGAAAAACAAGAACCACTTTAAAAGTTCTTTGTTGTCTTGTTAATGAGGCATCAAATCCCAGAATGCCTCTCCTTTAAAATGACTTCAGCAATCTTCAGAAAGTAAAACGGAGCTGGAGGAATCAGGCTCCTGGACTTCAGACTATACTACAAAGCTACAGTGCCAGACAGTATGGTACTGGCACAAAAATAATAGAAATATAGATCAATGGAACAGGATAGAAAGCCCAGAGATAAACCCACGCACATATGGTCACCTTATTTTTGATAAAAGAGGCAAGAATATACAATGGAGACAAGGCAGCCTCTTCAATAAGTGGTGCTGGGAAAACTGGAGAGCTACCTGTAAAAGAATGAAATTAGAACACTCCTTAACACCATACACAAAAATAAACTCCAAATGGATTAGAGACCTAAATGTAAGGCCAGACACTATAAAAATCTTAGAGGAAAACATAGGAAGAACACTCTATGACATACATCAAAGCAAGATCCTTTTTGACCCACCTCCTAGAGAAATGGAAATAAAAACAAAAATAAACAAATGGGACCTAATGAAACTTCAAAGCTTTTGCACAGCAAAGGGAACCATAAACAAGACGAAAAGACAACCCTCAGAATGGGAGAAAATATTTGCAAAGGAAGCAACTGACAAAGGACTAACCTCCAAACTTTACAAGCAGCTCATGCAACTCAATATCAAAAAAAACAAGCAACCCCAATCCAAAAATGGGCAGAAGAGCTAAATAGACATTTCTCCAAAGAAGATATACAGATTGTCAACAAACACATGAAAGAATGCTGAACATCACTAATCATTAGAGAAATGCAAATCAAAACTACAATGAGGTATCACCTCACACCAGTCAGAATGACCATCATCAAAAAATCTACAAACAATAAATGCTGGAGAGGGTGTGGAGAAAAGGGAACCCTCTTGCACTGTTGGTGGGAATGTAAATTGATAGAGCCACTATGGAGAACAGTATGGAGGTTCCTTAAAAAACTAAAAACAGAACTACCATATCACCCAGCAATCCCACTACTGGGCATATACCCTGAGAAAACCATAATTCAAAAAGAGTCATGTACCACAATGTTCATTGCAGCTTTATTTACAATTGCCAGGACATGGAAGCAACCTAAGTGTCCATTAACAGATGAATGGATAAAGAAGATGTGGCACATATATACAATGGGATATTGCACAGCCATAAAAAGAAATGAAATTGAGCTATTTATAGTGAGGTGGATGGACCTAGAGTCTGTCGTACAGAGTGGAGTAAGTCAGAAAGAGAAAATCAAATATGGTATGCTAACATATATATATTGAATCCAAAAATAAAAAAAGGTTCTGAAGAACCTAGGGGCAGGACAGGAATAAAGACACAGACGTAGAGAATGGACTTGAGGACACGGGGAGGGGGAAGGGTAAGCTGGGACGAAAGTGAGAGAGTGGCATGGACTTATATATACTACCAAATGTAAAACAGATAGCTAGTGGGAAGCAGCCACACAGCACAGGGAGATCAGCTCGGTGCTTTGTGACCACCTAGAGGGGTGGGATAGGGAGGGTGGGAGGGAGACACAAGAGGGAGGAGATATGGAGACATATGTATATATATAGCTGATTCACTTTGTTATAAAGCAGAAACTAACAAACCATTGTAAAGCAATTATACTCCAATAAAGATGTTAAAAAAATTAAAAATTAAAATAAAATAAAATGACTTCAGATGTGGTTCACCTAATCAGAGGTTTCAGTGAGTGTCATAATGGACTTCAAGAAGCACTGTGATACTATGGAGGGGTGTGTGTGTGTGTGTGTGTGTGTGTGTGTGTGTGTGTGTGTGTTGGGGTGGGGGCTCTAAAGCAGACTTTCCTTCTAACCAGCTTTCCCCATCTGTAAACTGGTGATATGTTTTGAAAATTGTGAATTGTTATATAAATGTTTTAATATATTATTATTGTAGCAGGTAAATTCCTGTTTCTTTATTTTCCTTAAATACTATAAAATTTACTCTGAGTCTCCATCCCACAAGGCAAATTATTATTGATATTCTCTCTGTGTGTCTTCTCCAAGGTCCAAAGTGTGTCTTGGCACACGTACTCTGCCCTCTTATTCCTGATGCTCATCCCCAACAGTTCTCAGGCTAGAAAGGTCTGAGAAAGGTTCTGGGGAGGAGGAGGGAGCCTTAAGCAGAGCAAAATTTTCAGGGAGATTCTCTCTTCCAATCCTAGGTACACAATGGTCATCTTGGAGATGCCCATTGCTCATGAAATCTTAAGGTTCAGACAAGGGATCTGAGAGCTGAAAGCCTGGTGTCTAAGATCCAGCCTGTAGAATACACCAGGCAACCCCTTCCCTTAGAGGCCTTGCTTCCTGTCTTCTGCTTGCAGGACTTTGTACCCTCTTCCCACACCGGGAACACCTCTCTCCCTCCTACCATCAGAAACATCTGTCTGTCTCCTCTACCCTCCAAGACCGTTCACAAAAGAGAGGAAGAGAGTACTTTTGTAGGCAGCTTCTACCATCTGACCAAAGGTGAGGTGATCTTGAAATGCAGAAGTTAGAAAATGAGAGAGAACCCCAAACTAATATTCCAGCACATTATTTTTAAAATATAAAACACAAAAATAATGTTATTTGTCCTTGTTCGTCCATATACAGTAAAAAAGCAAACAAAGAAAATTTTCACAGATGAAGGAGACCAGCTTTTTAAGATGGGCATCAAGATCCTCCAGCAGTCTAAAAGCCGAAAAGAAAAAGCAGAGTAAGTCCATCCAGCTACTTAAGCCAAGTTCAATTTCCAGGTTGAGAAAAAGGAACAATCCAAAATCTAATTTGTCATTAAAAGCTTACTGGTACAACAAGTAAGCTTATTTGCCTGTAAGCTTTTGTTTTTTAAAGGATCAAATGGTGTTTAAAGAATCCTACAAATTATCCAGCCTACAAATGGAAGGACTATGTGTGAAATTGTGGTCCCTACACATTAAATGAAAGGCAGAATGAAGGCACTGATCTGAGCATTCAGGCAAAAATATTCTGTTTTGGCTTTAATTGATTCAAATGAAATAAAACATGTATTATTTGAATTAGAGAAGTTATTGTTTTAGAATGCTTTATTCTGCCTAACAGCACCTGTACATCACTTTATGGTTTTCAGAGCACTTTCGTACATGTGACGCCATTTTATCCCCAGAACAGACTTATGAGTTAAGAAGAGTTTCATTTTTCCCCCTTTAAAAAGTTGAGAACAGAGATTTAAGGATGTTATAGTGAGGTGATCACAAATGCACAGCTGGGAGGTGACCAAGCCGTGGCCACATGGTCTCACACCATGTCCATTGTTTCTCTTTTCACTTGTCTATTTTGTCTAAATGGGAGGCAGAAATATCTTCTCCCCCCAGGAGAGGGGCACAACTTGAGGTGCTATCAACTCTCTAGTTAAAACCTTGGGATCACACTCTGGCTCTGCCATTACTGGTGTGATCCTGAGCAAGTTACTTAACTGCTTCGTACCCTGGATAATGCAATCAAGCTCTTAGAACAATCTCCTTAGTAATAAGGAGATAAGTGTTCGTTATTTTTATCTCTAGTCCTCTAAATGGTAAGTGGAAGGTGTGGCAGAGAAGAAGACAAGTGTGTCTTGAACCGTAATAGAAAGAATGGACTCTGAGCCTTCGACAAGGAGACTTCTTTTGTTTTCACACAAATTAGGCATACCAGCCCCACGGGAAGCATCCCAGAGCTGTGGTAACCAGCCCGAGGCAGGCAGCTGCAGAGTCCATGAATTCTTTCTGAAAACTCAAAGCCTTTGAGAAGAGTGTAAGAGTGTAGAAGATGAGGGTGGGGGTGGGGCACTCACCTGTGAACCTGGTTATAAAAACATCACAACGTCCATTTTTCAAGGTCCTTCTTTGTGTTAATGTTGTAGGCATTTATGTGTGGGATATTACTCATTGCTCACGATGATACTGTAAGACATAAATTATTATCCCCAAATTATGGAGGAGGAGATGGAAGGTCAAAAAGATTCTGATTTTTCCAAAGTGACAAGAAGAAGGAAGTAAGGGATTTGGTCCTCTCTCTAGGGAAAGTTAAATTAGAAGCTCTTTATAAGAGCAAAGGAAACCTTTCTCAGCAAAACTCAAGGCTCATGCTGAGCATTCCTGGGGGCTCTCATGATGAGGATGGAGTTAAATCAGACCCCAAACTACAATCCAGCCTGATGGGGAAGTCCGCTCACTCAGGTGCCAATGAGTAGATGAATAAGGATAGGATTTCTCAAGCTGGCCAGGCTAGATGAGAGAACAATGGGAAGGGCTGTTCCCTGAGATTTCAGACTAGCTCTGCCTATAGCCTGTGAACCCAAGATGAGGGGCTCTATCAAGTCCAAGGAAAGCCTAGATTCAGCCTGATGGGACAAAACCACTCTTAGAAGGTTCTGCTGAA